AATCGTACACTGAATCGGCCACAGATGGATTGTTCCCGCTCTATCTAAAGCACATCCATCTGTGCTGAAATCTAATTCTAATTCCCTATCTGGTGAAAATGAAGCATTCCTGATATACTTAACAATTTCAGCTTCGACATCAAAATGAACATACTCCCCCGGTTCTACAACATATGTTGAAACACGAGTTCGTGGAGTACCCAGGACAGTCCTAATATCCTTCGGGAGGTTACTAAAGCAGCTATGGGTCCGAAGAAGGGTAAGTAAATTGTTACCCTGAACATGATTGATATTGTTGTCAACACAACAGGAAGCCAAACTTTCCTGAAATGAAGTTTCAGGAACCGCTTCAGAACTACACAACACTGAAGAAGACAAAGAAGAAGAAGAGGAAGAAGAATTGTCATCCACATCTACACCATGGATGGCATCAATATCATCTGCGTAATCTGTGGAGGATGAAGGAACATCCGCCAGATTAACAGGGGCATTGATCTCTTGAATACAAGAAGAAGAAGGAGAAGCCAACGAAGGGACAACACTATTGGATCCTACCTCATTCCTTATGTTGCGTCTCTGTCTGGTCGATGATATTTTAAATATCGGTTTCCTCGATACTGATAACTTAAAATTAAAGTAACTCATAATTAAAATTATTAATTAAATGAAATGTATGTTAGGAATATAAATGTAAATATATGTATATGAAAAAATAAATGTAAGTAAAAATAATTTGTGGTTAATATATGAAAGAAATGAATATAATTTAAAAATGGAACAAAATGGTTAGTAGATAATAGAAAAATGGTGGTTAGTAGTTATAATAGTAAATAAAATATATGAATAATTTATATTAATTAATATGCGATTAGAATAAGACGCCTGTTGCACTGCACTCTCGTTCGTTCAGCGACACAAAGCGAATGATACAAAACGGTTGAACGCTGTCTCTGGTATGTATCAGTTATTGCGGGAAACGCGTTCATTGGATGCGCATTTTCGTCACGTTGATTTCTCCAACCAATGTAAATACCTCCCGCTCAAATTGATGCATTGTCTTTTATTTTATAACGGAACGACCGCACAGATGATCGTTATCTGTTCTGAGGCAAGTCAGAGACGGTAGAGACTGCGAAATTCGAAAACATTTTACTGCGATTTTTTTTCCAATTTCATTATAGGGACTACAGGAGAGAAGTGCAACTGCCAAGGATGAATTCAAATGTAAGTATGACTTTTATTCATTGCAATTACATGTATCGCGGATATGAATGTATACATATTTTAAATTTTCTTCAAATATTCTTTTATTACAGATGGAAATGGAACATCGTCCGAAGAGGATGGCCAACAAGCCGGCCCGGTATCAAACCACGTTCTCCGACGAAGAACCGCGAAAGCGTTTAAAGGTGGCCCCCGGAAGTATCGTCGAGGACATAACAGACCTGAGGGCTACCTTGTAGGGCGTGGACGATGAAGTTCTATCTAATTATAGACAACACGAATACACGAACACATACACACCACTAGACACATACTCGCCATACACAAGCACATACACACCACCAAACATAAACATATACTCGCCACACACACCACCAAACACATACAGGCCACCTCCAACAGTATATGCACCACCAACGCAAAGTTTTCATATTCCAGATGCAGTGGAGAGCAGGCCTGAACCAGGGATGCAGCAAGGTACGGAACCTACAAATTTACAAATATGGTAAGTTGCATGTTCATTCTTCTTCTATACAATATTGGGAATAAAAGTATATTCCTCAATTTGTTACATGTTTAAGGACATTTTCTTACAAATATTAATGTTTACAGGGATCTATATACAAAAATTGGCAACCTGGAGTCCATTTTAATTTTACGCCGCCTCCGAAAACTTTGAAATGTATTTGGTATCCTATTTAACGATTAAGTAGATATTATTAATAGCTATGGAATATTGGTATAAATGAAATAAAAATTATTTGACACTTTTTAGTGCATTTCGAAGTCGGATTTGTTTTTTGTTAAAAATTATTTTATTTATTTTTCATTGTCAATTATAGTTCCTCACTCCAACGTAACATATTGTAGCATAAGCATATTTGAATTAATTAAAAGTATAATAAATTTGCACTACCAACGAAACTTTGCGTTTAAATTTTGTCAAGTACAATGCGACAGCTGACTATTTCTTTTACATTCAGAATAGAATACGGAATTAGAAAAAAGCGCCCTCTCGTTTTCATCGGCCACCCGTATGTCTATGGTTATTACCATTTTTCTGCAGAAAAATCTGCTGTAATACCGACCGGCCAAATTGGAGAGGTCACGTGCCGTGTCTACCCCCTTAAAATGGACTCTGTGAATGAAGGTCTTGCTGTAGTTAGTGTAATGTTGAGTGATTATATAATTAAAAAGTTAATACAAACAAAAAAGAAAAAAGAAAGTGTGGGTAAAAAACTGGATCGATAAACGCAGATATTTTGTAGCTTCTGATCAATTAGTGAAAGAATTGCGAAACGAAGATGTGGCTGCGTTTCGAAACATATTTAGACTTAGTCCAGAGCAATTTGATGATTTATTGCAAAAACTGCACCCACTTATTGAAAAAAGTGGACAAATATGCGTGAGCCTCTGTCATCAAAACTCAAATTGGAAATTACTTTACGTTATTTATGTTCGGGTGACTCGTTTAATAGTTTAATGTATCTGTTTCGAGTGCCAAGTACTACAATATCCCATTTTATACCTGAAGTTTGTGATGCCTTGACAACAGTTTTGAAAGAATATTTACAGGTAAGTGTAAAAAATACAGGATAATATTTATGTACTGTTTTATTTTATGAACACTGATAAATATATAAAACTAAAGTAATTGAAAATAGGATAAGATTAGAATAATCGATAGAATCTTGAGAAAAATCGGAAGTAGTGCTGGCAGTTCCTGGTGTATTGCTCATTATATAATTAGGAACGGGAGAATGACTGTTTTGAGAAGGGCTGTTATTACTATTTTGCTGTAATTGTCTGTTTAATAGCTACATACGATAATTTATACGCTTTCTAGTAATTAACTGTTGGATTTCCAACTGCAATTGAAGTGCATCTTCCAACGGTATATTATTTAATTGCGCAGCAATGCTTTGTCCGAATATATCAAATTCGGTTTTTTTCGACGTTGCATTGACTGAAATAGCTTCTAATCTATGTAGGGCTGATGATAGAAATTTTTCATCAGCTTCGTCACTGTCTCTTTTTCTTTTTTTGTTTCTTGAACTAGAGTGTCCAGAAAATGTTGGTTGTGAGTAAATAGTTGATTCATGGCTCGTTGGTTGTTGCTGAAACATAATCCCAGCTTGGGTTACTAGTTCCTCCAAAACATTAACATCTTTTTCATTTGATGCTGTTAGATCAACAATTGTAGTATGATTGGAAACGGTTTTTATTTGGTTTCGTTCGTCGTCTTCAGTAACATTTGTGTGATCAACAATCTAAAAATGAAAAATATATATTCTTATCATGTTTAATATGTTACTTTATTACAGGTGCCCTCTACGTTTGAGAAATGGGAGCGTATTCAACGCGGATTCGAACATCGTTGGAATTTTCCAAACGTAATTGGCGCTTTAGATGGAAAACATGTAAATATAATTTTGCCCATCAGCAGTGGATCAGATTATTATAATTATAAAGGAAAGTACAGTATAGTACTAACGGCGCTTGTGGACGATGACTATCGATTTACATATATAGATGTTGGAGCTAAAGGTCGCTTTTCAGATGGTGGAATTTTTCGGAATTCTAGCTTTTACACAGCACTCACCGAAAACAGTCTTAATATTCCGGATAATGGAATAATAGTTGCGGATGATGCATTCCCGTTGACAAGCCGAATAATGAAGCCTTACAAAAAAAGAGATTTAAGTATCTCGGAAAAGGTTTTCAATTATCGACTTATTGTTAGCAGAGCCAGACGTAATGTTGAAAATGCGTTTGGTATTTTGACAGCGCGGTTTAGAATATTTGAAAATGATATTAAACTTCAACCAGAAAAGGTTGAAAAAATTATATTTGCTGCATGTTCCTTGCACAACTGGCTTCGAACATGCAGAGATGAAAATTATTGGCCTCGAGAAATTATGGACAGAGAAGACACAGAGTTTGGACAAATTATCTCGGGTCATTGGAGACAAATCACACGGGGATTAACAAGTGTACATGCAGATCGGTTTGCACATAATCCAGCAAGACACACAATAAATATTCGAAACGAGTATTGTGAATATTTTAATGGAGTTGGTGCAGTGCCGTGACAACTAAAAATGATTAATTAACTGAAGACCTAGTAAATATCTGAAGACCTAACAATATAATGTTTTTGTCTTCCTTCTGTTTAATGATTATAATAAATTAGTATTGGAAGTTAATTCATTTATTGTTAATTACGAACATGTATACATGTATACAAACAAATGAAACAGAAAACCTCTTTTTTTAAATCAATTAATAAATTTTTGTGAAATAATAAATTACTTACCTCCAAATTTGATACTGTTTTTTGTGTTACAAGTGGTCGTAGAAAACTGTCTAGAGCGGCGAACCATGGTAATGAAGGTTTATATACTTTGAAAGACCGTTATGATTCGGTTGATACAAATGCGCATGCGCAAGATGGATGCGTTTCCGCAGTGGGAAGCGAGTTGTGCGATATACGTTCTGGGATATGTGTTTCTATAAGTTTTGTTATACTTTCTGTATGAGATATCTTGATATATTTCCTTAATGTTTAGTTACTTGTATTCATCATCATTCTTTAATAATTAAATCTTTTCTTAATAAAAATGCGTCCAATTCAAGGTTATGGGCCCAGGCATGCCGGTAGACGCCACGTGGCAAAGTAGAGGTTAAGTACGAAACACGGACGGCTGCTAAACTGTATATTATAATTAATGTAATTAAGATTGTTTGTTCCTGCTTGTCGAAAGTACCTAGACAATATGGCAAGTGTTACTTCAACCGACAGAACTGATAGGTTGAATAACGAAAATTATAGGACATGGAAATTTTCCATGAAAATTTCCTATGTAGATGGAACATGCAAATTACAAGAGGGTGCAGATGCAGTTACAGAACAAGCATATAAGTCTAAGGTAGAAAAAGCATTATCAACAATAGCATTGTCCATCGATCCTGATCAGCAAATACATATAGTAGACTGCAAAACTGCTGAAGAAGCATGGATAATATTAGAACAAGTATATGAACCTCGTTCAAGACAGAGGATTATGCAATTGAAACGAGAGTTTGTAAGGATTCGACTGAAGGAGAATGAAATAATGGCTTCATACCTATCCCGAATGAAGATCTGTAGTGACTACTTGAGAGCTGCTGGATCTGAAGTCCAAGATGAGGATTTAGCATATGCGATGCTTACTGGGTTGCCAGACACATATGATGCCCTAACAATGTCACTTGCAAATCTAGAGGATCATAAATTTACATCAGTTGAAATAAGGAAAGCGCTGTTGACAGAATATGAAAGAAGAATGTCCAAAAGTGAAGAATCAAACAACCAGTCAGAAATAGCAGCATATCAGACTGGCAAGCAAAAATTGCAGCGTAACACCAAGACAAATACAGCGTTTAAATGTTTTCAGTGTGGAAAACCAAGGCATATAGCTACACACTGCAGAGGTAAGAAGATGAATACATATACAAAGGAAGCAAGGGAATATCCCAGAAATCAAAAGAGGTCTACAACTAAGAGAGACACTGTAGCTCTTTTACTGGCGCTGCATAATGTGGAGTTTGACGAGGCATGGTTACTGGGCAGCGCAGCAACTCACCATGTATGTAAGAACCAAGAATATTTTACAAACTACAGGCAAATTCAATCAAAACCAATAGGTACAGCAGATGCAAACATTAAGATGGATTCAGATTCTCTTGTAGCAGAAGGAAAAGGGGATGTAATACTCATTTCCAAAGTAAACCAAATGGAATATAAAATAATTTTGAAAGTCGTGTACCACGTGCCTGGGTGTAGACGAGACTTGATGTCTGTAGCTCAGATCGAGAAAAAGAATAAAAATTTTATCTTTGAACGTGGAAATGCGACAATATAAATTTGTATGTTGTATTGGCAGAAACTGTGATTCCTGAAACAAAGACTGTTGTTAATGTGCATCAGGCAAGTGTGCCTGAGTCCGACGTATGGCATGCTAGATTTGGCCATATAAATAACAAGTCCATCGACACTCTCGCTATAAGAGGTTTCGTGAAAGGACTCGAGAATGTAAAAATGGATTCGGAACAATGTCCGGGCTGTTGCGTTGGAAAATCCACCAAGGCCCCTTGTAAGAAAATATCTGGGAGACAGTCAAATGAGATTTTGGAACTAACACACTCAGATATATGCGGACCGATACAGGTAAGCTCTATAGGAGGAGCTAGATACTTCATGACTCTAATAGACGATTTTTCAAGAAAAGCTGAAGTACATTTCCTAAAGAATAAAAACGAAGTACCTCAAATTATTCAGCAATATATTGTAAAAGTAGAAAGGCAGAAAAGTTTAAAAGTGAAAAGATTTAGAACGGATAACGGACTAGAATTTTGTAACCGTGAAACGAAGGAACTATTCGACAGTCTTGGCATCAAGCATGAGAGAACGTGCGTTGAGACACCCCAAATGAATGGAGTGGCTGAGCGATTAAATCGTACATTAATGGATATGGTACGAGCTATGTTAAAGTCAGCAAAATTACCATCATCGTTCTGGGCGGAGGCAACAAGCACCGCAGTACAGTAAAAGCTGGATATATGCACCAATAGTTTAGCTGGATATATGCAACATCGCTATCCCGTCTACTTGGGGGATCCCCCTAAGCCGAACCGAGCCGCTCGGCTAGGAAACCGTGTAATATGATCCAACCGTAATATCAGTGTGACTAATACTAATTGAACGATAAAACTTTTTTATTTTTAACTTTTTCTTAACGAAACTTTTACTAACGCATTTGTGAGATTTTTCTGATTAAAATGGTATCAAACACGATATGATTTGAATTATATGTATTTATTAAAATAATAATAAAACTGCACATTATAATATGTATTGTCATATATTGGAAAAAGATTTTGTAATAATTTTACAAAATTATTGGAAGAAGATGACAGTATAAATATAGATAATATCTATAACATGGATGAAGCTGGCCTTTTTTATCGAAAGCCTTACCATCAAAGACCTTGGTAAAAAGAAAAGAAATGTGTGTAAGTATTAGTCACACCGATACGTTTCGGCCCCGTCCTTTGTTTCCTTCGACCTCTTTCTCTCCTCCACTATCTGTCCCTTTCTACTTTCACGCTCAGCTGGAGCGGCATGTAAATATAGAATCGACACCTCGCCTCGGCCGGATATAATATACAATCTTTAGGTCCCAATCTCTCTTGCATTTATCCAGCTTTTACTGTATTATTATTGCTTGTATGTGAAAAAAGTCAAATTTGAGCAAATGTTCAATACAAATTGAATATATATATAATGACATATACAAAATGTTCTCACGGCCAAAATCGTACATCTACAATAACTGTTCAATTGATCTTAATTTTTTCCTATTTTTTAATCTCAAATAACAGATTGTAACAGATATTTAACCGACTTCGAAAAGAAGGAGGTTACTCAATTCGATCAGTATGGTTTTTTTTCCTGTGCTGTCGGGGGCATGATTCTGAACAACTTTTTCCTTATGCATAATTAACGGAAAGCTTTAGTTTCCGAGATATTCGTGAAAAACTATTGTTACTACTCCATTGAATTCTACGTATGCCTACGTATCTCTACCGGTGTATGAGTCAGTATACAGTCGCTGATTCTCTACTGTTTCTATTGTATACATACATATGTATACTCTGCAAAGCATGTACCGATTGCGATGAAACCTTTCACATCTAATAGGAGATATTTCCGCGATATCTCACTTGTAAAAATTTATGCAATTTGTTATTGTTATTAACTATTGTTATAACAAAAAGTCAATTCCTTGGTGTTACTTTGCCAATAATGATTTCATAGGTTGCCGACGCCTGAACTAGGATCTTTCTAGTAGAAGAAAAGTTTTTAATTTTGCGCCGCCTCCGAAGAGGTTGAAATGTATTTATTATACTATTTAACGAGTAAATAGGTTTTATTAATAGCTTTTGGGTATTTGTATAAATGAAGTAGAAATTATTTCATACTTTTTAGTGCATTTCGAGGTCGGTTGTATTTTTTCTTAAAAATTATTTTATTGTATGCTAAATATGAATTAGTAAATCGTTGTTTCCTAGTAATAATTTTTCATACAATTTTGTAATTGTACGATTTTAGGTATGAGCCGACTTTCGTACATGTCATTATAATTATTTATTTTCACCTAAATATATGACAAAATTCGGATTACTTTTTACATAAAAGTAGATAGTAATTCACATGGAATATAATAACGCGTATTACAAAGCCATTAGGTTCATACAATTTAATTATCAAGCACAGTAAGAAGAGAATTACGGTATACAATTTTGGCTGTGGCTCACTCTACGTTTCCCAACACATGTTTCCATAACAACAATACATAGTACCCGGCTGTAGTGACACGCAACATTGCTATGATAATGTTCTATATAGTAGAACATTAAAAACGGATATTTTTCCGTTTAATTCTAAAGCTAATATAAAGTGATGGGTTTCTATTATAGGTAAGTCTCGATTAACCCTTTCGCGACGGGTACCGTCTATATACGGCAGTCACTTGGTGCATTACAGCGACTGACGCCAACTATATACGGCACAGATTGTGTTAATAAATATTTTAGGTTTTGCACGAACAGTGCGTCCAATGGTACATTCGCCGTCGCGAAAGGGTTAATGCTAGTTCACATAGTGCGATATTCGATTTAGTGCGATTTTTAAAATGATGCCAGGTCGCATTTAATGCAAACAAAAATTCAGTTAATGCGAGGCTTGCGAGACTTCTTTCGATCCAGACATGGATCGAAGCATGCAAGTTAACAGAGACTTGGATAAAATACTGCGGGTTTATCATCACATATACGAAGATATGGAAAAGCAGAATACAGTTTAATCAACACTCTTAAAATACCTTAAAAAAGTAATAAACATGTTTATGCTATTATAATTTAATAATATACGTATGAAAGGTATATTTCAAAATTTTGATCGGGATTTATTACTCGCACTAATCGAGACCTACCTGTATTAGAACAATTCAACTGATCCGGATAAACGGAGTTTTAAGAGGGTCGTCCGGTGTGTCCGTTCGACTGAACTTCCGAATAGTTCCCACACCCGATTTTCTTCACCATGATATACAGGGTGTTCGCGCTAAAGAGTGACAGGTGTTTTATTGCGTAATGACCGATGTACACGGTGCGAGAAATCTCGTACGAGAAGCCCTCGAATGCTACTCGCATGCGAGCTCGTATCGTGTACACGTTTCACGTGCGTGCACGCATATTAGCACGCACGGGCTCGAATCGGTTTCCAACATGTTGGAAATTTGGCGAGCTCTCGTTCGTGACTCGCACGAAAATGAATTCGGGAAGAACGACAAGCCAGGCAGGCTATGTGCGTTCTGTCAGCGTGTTTTCCCTTCTGAAGGGAAAGTCCTTCAACTTATGGGTGTTGTAAACAAAAGGGTATACAGTGGCCGAAGTAATGTTAGGTTCATCTCATTTTTGTGACATAAAATAATATCTGATGTAACATTTTTGATTTTGTTTATCATAATTTATTTTTCCTAAGATAATTAGGAGAAAACATAATGTGTAAGCGTTACGCCTTGCTTAGTTGTTTCTACGTCGCAGAGGTACGACTAGCGTGTTTGTGTGGGTTTTTGATGGACTTCGGAGGAGATTCTCGGCTACAAGAGAGAGGATAGGTTCTGCAAAAAGCCTGGTCCGCGAAGGTCCGGCTCCTTCACTAGGAAAGTTTTAGCGTGGTAGAATCAGAGAGCCTGGTCCGCGAAGGTCCGGCTGTTCTAAGGAAAGGTTTTGGTGTGGTGGAGAGTCTGGTCCGCTGAGGTCCGGCTGCTCCGAGGAAGGTCTGGCTACGGAGGTTTCCAAAAGCCTAACTGACTTCTTGGGTAGTTTTGGCCGGTATTTATACTAATTCTAAAAGCTAGCTCTGTCCAATCAGGAGTGCGTATGACCGAGCGCGAGGGTTTTTTATGACCGTACCTGCGAGTGCTCGGCGCTCGGTGGACGCGATATTCGTACGGCTTACTTAGCTACACTTAATTATACTTTAAACGTATTCGCGCTACAAATGTAGTTTTATAATATAACATAATAATAAGCTTTTTATTATAAAACATTAAAATTTTATGTGCGAAATAAACAGTTTCACTTTTAAGAATTATGTCCACTCACTCACATTATCGAATCTAAAGTAATTGTTATCACAATTACTGGAACAAACGCTAGTGAAACAATAGCAAGCATCGTCATATATTTCCGAGCATGAAAAATGAATTTTTATTCCGTCTGACGCCGTGAACGTTGAAACATCATCTCTGCAAGAATGTCAAAGTGGAACGATAATCAAATGATGACTTTTGTGCATCTGTATGAATCACACCCCTGTCTATGGAGATCTGATTTATCAGATTACAAAAATCGCGACAAACGGCAGAGTGCGTTGGAAAGTATCCTGGCTGAAATGAATATACCGAACTTTACATTCGTCGATTGTAAAAATAAAATTAAAAATCTCCGTTCTCATTATTGTCAAGAACTCAAAAAAATAAAAAATTCAATAAAAAGTGGTGCTGGGAGCGATGAAGTATGAATTGGACGCATTTTTATTAAGAAAAGATTTAATTATTAAAGAATGATGATGAATACAAGTAACTAAACATTAAGGAAATATATCAAGATATCTCATACAGAAAGTATAACAAAACTTATAGAATCACATATCCCAGAATGTATATCGCACAACTCGCTTCCCACTGCGGAAACGCATCCATCTTGCGCATGCGCATTTGCATCAACCGAATCATAACGGTCTTTCATTCCCCCACTTTATGATTCGTTGTAACATATAATCGAATTTTCCTATTTATATTTTTCAGTGATATTTTTCCCAATGGTTTGATAAATGCATCGGCTATGTTGTCTGCGCTTGCGACGTACTCCAACTTGATTGTACCGTCAGCCACCTTTTCGCGCGAAATATGAAACGCAATGTCTATATGTTTGGTTCTGCATTTCTCTACACGATTTCTTGAAAAGTCAATGACCGCCCGATTATCACACAACACTGTATACGGTTGCGTTATCCATTCGTCTAGGTCCATTTCTTGAAGCAGCGACTTTGCCCATATAGCTTTTCTCACCACGTTAGACAAGGCAATATATTCGGCCTCCATGGTCGAAGTCGAAATTGCCCTTTGTTTCGATGCCTTCCATTCAACAATGTTGTCTCCTAAAGTAACTACCATTCCACTGTAGGAATGACGGTCGTCAATATCGCCTCCCCAATCTGCGTCGCTCCAAAACGCAACTTCTGGTTTCCCTGGTGCATAGTGCAACTTATATTCCAAAGTACTGCTCAAGTATCTCAGTACTCGTTTTGCCTCGACCCAATGTTTCCATCCAGGGTTAGAATTAAATTGCGACAATTTCGATACTGCCAGTGCAATATCTGGCCTAGTACAGTATGCTATGTAATTAAGAGAACCAATTATTTCTCTATATGGTACTCTTCTCATTGCTTGGCTTTCTTCGTACGACTTAGGAGCATCA